GAAAAACCAACTATTGAAAACTCCAAACAACTAGAAGAAGTTGATCAATTACCAAAAGAAATCAATGTTAAAGAACACCAAAAATATACTGTAATAATACCATATATTATGGAAAAAATAGGACAAGGCGATATAATAGAACCAAAGATCCTAGCTGCACAAAGAACAGACCAGTGCAAAATATACCCAAACCAATGGTCATGCTTTGGAGGAAAAGTAGAACTGAATGAAACATATTTCGAAGAAATTGTACGAGAAGCACAAGAAGAATTGGATCTAAAAATAGATCATTCACGAATGCAACTTATCATGATACACAACTATCATTCACACAATCAAAATGGAACAAAACTATTATACAATCATGAAATCGAAACTGTATCCGAAATGAATAGAGTAACCATACCAATTTGGTTATATCATTTAACCAATAAAGAAAAGAATTCTATCAAAAATATGGAACCAAATATCCAAACAAACTTCAAATACTTATCACAAAAAGAAGTACAACACTTATGCTTCACACCAACAATCCACATGAATAAACAAAAATTATTTGAATTATTAATACCATATTACGAAAATGAGTACATCACTAAAAAGGAAAAGATCACTTATGATCCACACAGATTAGATCAAAAAAGGGAATACGCCAAAGAAAAACCTTTACGCCAGAAACTAAATAAAGGAGTGAAAAAACGCCAAAATCCTTAAAACAATAGAAATACCTGTACAAGTAAAACTAAATTTCACCGCCAAGGGCTCAGAAACAGTTTAGCGCGTACAGACAGCCTAGAAAATCTACCGACAATCTACACCGTGCGACAAACAGAAGCATCACGCCTTAGCCGAAATGATTATCAGAATAAGATTACCAAATCAGAGCATATTATAACTTATCTACAATCATTAATTAATGATCAACCAAATATTTACAATATTAGTCATTTATTACAGTATTATTATTAACAATCTGTATTACTTTATCATCAAATTATTAGTCATAGCTTATTAGCAAAATAGCCTTCTCGAATGTATAAATATCACTAGCTTTTACCTTTCTTAACTTTAGAATTTTTGCTTAAATTTAGCCTTATTCTCAATACAATAAATAGTACAAAGCATAAAGCTTACCTTTCTTAACTTTAGAATTTTTGCCTACGGCAAAAATTGAACCTTATTTG